CCCTTTGTCACTTCCTTCCATCCGTCCTCTCGTTCCCCTGCTTTAGGGGCTGCGCGAAATACACGTTGCAGGTCAGATCAGACAGATATAATCCTCAGGCTGTACGATCGAAGACGAGGAAGGCGGATACCAAGAGCTTGGATACACGTGTTGCATGGCACGCGAGCGGATCAGAACGACCAGTTCCAACCTCATTGTCAGTGCCTTGCTTGTTGGTGTTGCTGTTGTTGTGTTTGTTGTTGTTGTTGTTGCTGTTGCTATTGCTGTTGAGTTACCATGCCGAATGAACAAGTACTGCTGCTCCCCCCTGGAAACCATTGTATGTTTCAATGGAAGTGCCCCGTCGTGGCTCGCACCCTGTCTATCTGCAGGGAGAGCTTGGTGTCACCAAACTGTGTCGTTGGTCCCCCCAGCTATAGCACCAGTTGCTCCCGCATGATACGTCCTCACAATATATATATATATATATATATATATATATATATATCGGCATCGCGCTCTCGAGCGGGAGCTTCTTCACAATGTATGCAAGGATCGCGCCTTCGCGTGGGAATTGCTCACAATGTATTAAAAGCCGCACCCTCCACACTCAGACATGAAGCTCCTGGTTTGGTTTCTCTCACGATTGTTTTGGGAATTGCGCTATCGCTCGAGATTGCCCTACGATTCATGCAGTACCCACGCTTCAGCAGCACGCCTTCTCGACCATCTCCCTTGGGCCCGCCTTCCCGACCCGCCCGCAAGTGTCTACGCGCCCGATTGGCCCTTCTGGTTCTGCCACGTGTGTACCGTTTCTGCCTCCCCCCCTCCCTGCGAATTTCTCTCGGGCTCCATCCTTATCCCTCCCCCTTTCGCCCGTCCTCAGTTCCCCTGTTTTTAGGGGCTGCATTTTATGCGCGTGGCAGGTGAGGAATCCGTACACCGAAAGGGGTACGATCGAAGACGAAGAGGGCGGGTACCGAGGGTTTTCGATATACGTGTTGAATGGCACGCGAGTAGGAAGGAGCGAACATCATTAAAATCATTGTTGTTGTTGCTGTTGTTGTTGCATTCCCACTCCTGGAGAATAGCTATAGCTGATCGCCCCATCACCAGTGCACATCACATTTGTTCGATTAAAGTGTTTCTCCCCGGTTTCACATCCTTTTGTGTACAAACACATCTGATCTTCCTGCTCAATCTGCGTTGTTGGACCCCGAACTACAGCAACAAGTGCTCCCGCCAGATAGTCCCATGCAAGGTGTTGAAAATTCGCACTTTCGCGCGGGAGTTCTTCACAATGTATTCAGGAATCGCGCTTTCGCGTGGGACTCCCTTGCAAGTGATTCAGACGCCGTGCCCTCGACACTCGCGAATCACGTCTCGCTTTGGATTCCCCGAAGATTTACTTGGGAGTCGCGCTATCGCTCGAGACTTCCGGGCGATTCATGCAGGACGCACGCTTCAGCATCCCGCCCGCTCGACCTGGCCACCTGGGCCTGCCTTCCCGACCCGCCCGCTAGGAATCTTCCCGACCGATCTGCCCGTCTGGTTCTGCCACGTGCTTTCTGCTCCTAGCCTCCCTCCTGCTAATTTCTCTGGTGTTCAATATGTTCCCCCCCCTTCAGTATGTCCTCTCTTGTATTAGGTGCTGCGAACAAAATGCACGCGGCTGGCAAGGCGGATATACCTCGAAGGGGGTACGATCGAAAGCGAAAAGGGCGGGTACCGAGAGCGTGGGATACACGCGTTGGATGGCACGCGAGCAGATAGGAGCGAACAGTCTCAAGATCATTGTTGCTGTTGTCCTTGAACTCCAATTCTAACATATTATAACTATTGTTCATCTCCCCGCCCGATAACCATGGTCGTTTTGTCCATCAAAGAACTTCTCACGGGGCTCGCACCTTGTTTTCTTTCACAAGCGAAATCTGGATGTCACCAATCTGCGCTCCTGGCCCCCGGTTTACAACAGCAATGGCGCACGCCTAACATTGGCTTCCAATGGATTCCGAACTCGCGCTCTCGTTCGGGAATTCCTGACAATGTGTACGGGGATCGCGCTCGCGCGTGGGACATCCTCGCCATCTTTGCAGACGCCGCGCCCTCGACATTATGAGTCCTCACGATTTATTTGGGAATCGCGCTCTCGCTCGAGGCGTCCTTACGATTCATGCAGGACGCACGCTTCAGCAACCCGCCGGCCCCATGTCCCTTCCTTGCGTCCGTCCTGTCGTCACTTGCCTGAGGGGTTGCACGAAGTACACGCTGCAGGTATGATATATATATATATATATCACAAAGGGGGTACGATCGAAGACGCAGAGGGCGGGTATCGAGGGTTTTGGGTATACATGTTGACTGGCAAGCGAGCAGATGATATCGAACAGTCTTACAATGTTACAATGATTGTTGTTGTTGTTGTGGTGGTGGCGGTTGTTGTTGTTGTTGAGAACGACGGGTTTCAGAAGCCCTCTGGGGGAGGAGATGGGGGGGGGGGGGGGGGCGCATCGCATCACATCGGGGGGTGCGCTGCACCTGCGAGATTCCTATGGGATCTTTGGCATTCCTGGATTCCTGGGGATCCGCCTGGATTCCTGGAGAATCCGAGCATTTCCTCAGGATCCACAAGGATTCCAACGGATCCTTGGGGACTCCCCAATCTTCTGATGAATCGTGCGAGCGTTCGGAACGTCCTCGCGATTTGCCCTGGCATTGCGCTGTCGCTGTCAACTTCTTTCTCATTTACGCGCTGTCGCCTAAACTTGTCGCTGAAGCCTTCCGCACACTTCACTCAGGAGTCGAGCTCTCGCTCGATAGTTCCTCGCAGTGTACTCAAGAAATGAGCTGTCATTCTCTCGCTCTCTTGCTCTCTCTCTCCCTCTCTCTCTGTCTCTCTCATTTTTGTTCCCTCTCTCTCTCTCTCTCTCTTTCTTGCTCTCTCCCCTTTCTCTCTCCATCTCCCGGAATGATTCCTCGCCTGGGTCCGGTGGTGGTGATGATACCTTTGGTGATGGCGAATCGTGTTGTTGTTCATGGTGACGGGGGTGCTTCCGGTGTTTTCCAAAGCAGTTTGTTCGGCCGTTGCATGTTGTATGTGTGTGTTTGCGGATTCGCAAAACGTGTGTTTAGACGCACGAATGGTCTCAATTCCCGTCACGCCGTCGCGTGATATGTTGCTTTTGGGTAAGGTCGGTGGGCTTTTCGGAAACCGATTCCCAAAAAAGGTCGTTGTACCATAGTTTTCTGGTCGGTGTGCGGGTTCAGTGTCGTTGTGTTCTATTTCTTTCTCATTGCGGCTTGATTACGAAGGTTCCTGTTGCAAGCATTGTTTTATGGAGTTTTTCTGATTCAGGCTTCTGTCTGAAGGTTCTTTCATTCTTGGAATGTGACTAAGGTTCTCTCACTATGGATTCTTTATTATTGTTCTCTCAGGGAGGATTCTTCACTAAATTTCTCGTAGTGTGGACTTTGTATCAACTTGCTCTTACGGAGGACTCTTACTGAGGTTCTTTTAGTGAGGACTCTAGAGTACTATTCCCGCAGCAAGGTTTCTTTACTAGGGTTCTCTCAGTGAGGACTCTTGAGTAAGATTCCCGCCGTAAGGTTTCTTTACTGAGGCCCTCTGATGGAGGACTCATGAGTAAGAGTCTCGTAGGAAGGATATTATGTAATCGCGTTCCCATCCCAAGCATTATTTGTGGAGGCTCCCTGTGGCAGGACCCTTGCGTGCAGTTCCCGTAGTGCGACTCTTGAGTAAGAGTCCTTGAGTAAGGATTCCTTGCGAAGAAGTACGGATTCTTCTTTCCAGTTTTCGAAGTGCGAACTCTTGAGCGAGACTCCCATAGTGAGGATTATGTATTTTTTTTTCGGAGTAAGGACTCCAGAGTAACATTGTCGTACTGAGGTTTCTTGCCTATCTCTTGGTGGGGACTTTGGAGTAACAATCCAAAAGCAAGGATCCCTCATTCAGGTTTTGTTTTAGCAAAGGGCGTTGGAGCAAGAGTCCCGTAGCAAGGATTCTTCAATAAGGTACTTTCAGTGATGTCTTCCTCGTGAGGACTCTTGGGTAATAGTCCCGTCGCATGGTATTTTGGTGTATCGATATTCTCTTTGTAATGATTTTTGGCTTATATTCCCGTCGTAAAGATTATCCATTTAGGTCTTCTCAGTCAGAACTCTGAATCGGATGTTGTTAAATCCAGGTTCTCTCAGTAAGAAATCTTGCACAATACCCCGTTCATAAGGATTATTTATTGAGGTTCTCTTAGTTATACGTCTGGAGTGTTATTCCCATAGTAAGGGTTAGTCATCAAGGTTATCGTTGTCAAAACTCCTTGGGTACTACTATCATCGTAAGAATTTAATATTTCGGGTTCTCAATGTAAGGAGACTCAAGTCATATGCCGTTAGTAAGGCTTCTTTGCGAAGGTTCTCTTCCTAAGGACTCTTGGGTAATAGTCCCGTAAGAATGCTTGTTTTGTAAAGTGTTGATAGTAGGAACTCCCCACTAAGGATCCCCCACGAAGGACATTTGAGTAAGGGCTCTTGAGTACTATACCCATGATTCGGATTCTTTCGTAAGCTTCCCATCTGTGAGGACTCTTGAACTATATTCCCATGGTAAGAATTCCTTATTACGCTTCCCTTAGTGCGGACTTTTTGAGTTACATTCGCGTAGCAAGCGTTATTTACCAAAGGTGCTCTTCGTAAGGGCTCTCGGGTAAGAGTCTCGCAGTAAAAATCGTCACGACCCACTCCCTCGCCCGCCCCGTCAGTATTATCCGCAGTTGCGGTGTGCTGCGTGGTCATTATTGCCCCCCCCCTCCGTCCAGCCCGCCGCCCTGCAGCGTGGTCGTAATCCAGTGTCCGTCTTGTAGAAATAGTATCGGAATCAATCGCGTTGCGATCGGTCCCTGTTCGGTGGATGTAGTCCGCCCGGAGTACTTCGAGAGCGGTTCGGAGTGGTTGTAATTTGCTCGATTCCGCCCCTCAGTCCGTCCAGCTCGCCCCCCCCGCAGCGTGGCCGCGGTCTCCACGCTCGTGGTGGACGGCGCAGACGTGGCGCTGGCCCTCGGCCTCGAGGGGCATCTCCTGCAGATGCGGAGCCTCGCGGCCACGCCCCGCCCGCGCCCCCCCCCCCCCCACACACACACACTTTTTCGGATGTTGATCGACCTCCTACCTTGACACGTCGATTAGCGAATTGGCCTTTTTCTGTTCTCGAGAGGGCGTCGCGGCCGTCATTTTTGAGGGCCCAGGTCCGTCGGCTTCGGTCCCAGGCCGTTTTCACTAAAGGGTGGTTTACTAAAGGGGTTTGTCAACCGCCGACTTTCCTCCTCCAGACCTTAAGAGGGACGGAGGTCGTCGTCGAACGTCGGATGAAGCGTGCCGCTGCTCTCGCCCTGTAGAGTGGATAGGGGAGGGGGGGTCAGGAGGGGGGGGGGGGAGGAAGGATCTGTCCGGTGAACTGTCCGTGGGTGTTTGGCATCCCGCCGGGCAGTGGCCACCCCGCACCGGGTGCCAGCACCCTACAGGGCCTATAGGCCGTCGGCGCCAGGAACGGGGAAGTTGGAGTTAGGGGGTTGGACGGGAGCGAGAAAGGGAAGAGGAGGAGGAGGAGAAGGAGGAGGAGGAGGAGGAGCTCACTGAGAGCGATACGCACAATCACGCTACTCACAACTGCATACGATCTTGGGCCCTTCGCCAGACTCATCCAAGCGGCGGCAGCTCCAAGGTTCTCCACTCTGGCCCTCGCGGGCCGTTTTCGGACCTAGAATTGTGTCGGGCAGGTCCTCCTACAGGCGGATTTTGGAGGAAAAATCAAGCATAGCCAAGACATATGCAAACATAAGCACAAAAGGTAGAAGAACATCGTTGCCATACTGTTATTTCCGGCTATTTGGGGATGCTCCTCCTGTAGAGGGACATGCCCGACTCAAAATCGGGGGCCGTCAACCACGGAAGCGGGGCGAACGAATTGTACTCTCGCGGGCCGCGGGTGCGGGGCCTTCTTTGGGGCGGCGGGTCGTGTGACAGTCGTTTTTCGGCGGGTGCCAGGGGGAGGGGGACGGAAGGAGGAGGGTTTCGGTTGGACGCAGTGGAAGCCCATGCCAAGAAACACCCTGCAGGGTGCCCTGGGTTTCATGGGTTTCGATGGTTGTGCGGTGGTAGGCGTGACGTTCTTGCACCAAGAACCAACATGCATCCTGGGGTCTCAGGGTTGGGCTTCCTTTGCAAGGCTTCGTGTGGACTGGCCTCCGCTGTATCGGATGGCTTTCGACGGTCTTTGCAAGTTCTCGACGGATCTCGGGGCCCAGGGTAGTTTCCATCAGCCGCGCCTCGGCGAGGGCGTCCCAGGGATGTTGGGAACGGCTGATGTCCCCGCGTGAAAACGAAAAAGACTGACGTTGACTTTCGTTGTCGTGCCGGCCTCGGGGGCGGTCATTGTCGAGCCCTGGGGCCGTCTACAAAGTGAGTCGAGATGGGCGGGCCCTAGGGTAGAGGGCCACGTTGTAATAGAAAACAAAAATCGAACAAAATAACGACGTCGGTTTGCTGGGGAGGGTGGAGGAGGAGCACGAGGAGGAGAAGGAGGATAAGGGCCGTTTACGGGAACTCTATCCCCCGCTTTCGCCCCCGGCACCGCGCCCTGCCCGCGCGCGGCCGCCTTGGGGGTTCTGGTCATAGCGTCAGTTGCGGAAAGCGCGCGCCTCACCCTGAACAGCCGCGTGCGCATTTTCAGGTTCGTGTTGGGGACCAGCCGCGTCTACAAGCCCCTTCATTTGAACGCGATCGGCAGGGTTTATTGGTATTTCGTTTCATGCTGGTGTACATCAATGAAAACAGCATCAACTCAGGGTTGAAGAGATTGACTCACTCTGTGTGGAGTGCAACCCCGCCGGGAGCAAGTGCGACCAGGACGACATGCGCACGAGCAGATGAGATGCAGCCGACGTGGGCTACAACTACCACACCTTAATGACATCATGAGTATCGCCACGACCGCCCTCATGATGGCGTCTACAGCAGGACAGGCTAAGGAAGAGGCGAAGGAGACCGACGATTTGCGTAACAGGCGGCTGAGACAATAATGGAGGGTGTCTCAGCAACACGTCAGGGCCAACCCGGTCGTGGGACACACATACTTGATCATAGAGGACACTACCATGGCGCAGACGGTCTCCGGGACTATGCATGATGGTCAGCTGGGCCACACTGGACCTCAGGACAATGTCTACGGCGGCTACGACGGCCCCTTGGGTTACGACCACCTGGGCTACGGCCACCACGGCTACGAAGGATTACGCCGGCCACTTGAGCCACGGCCACGGCACCATAGCCAATTCCGCCTCTGGCACGTGTATGCCCAAGGTGGTGATTGGCAAGACTGGCTCCGGCTGGTCCCCTTTCCCTCCGACACGGCGCGCGGCCATTGGGTGGGCGACGACCTCGAGCCACCGGCCGAGCTACGAGTGCCAGCAGCTGAGCTTCGTGAGCGACCGGGCCAGCTTCGAGGGCAACCAGCAGAGCTACAACGGCAAGAAGCAGATTTTCCAGAGCCACCAGCAGAGCTACGAGTGCCACCGGCTGAACTTCGAGGGCCGTCAGAAGAAGCTACAACGGCCAAAACAATATTTCGAGAGTGACCAGCAAAGCCACGAGGACCACCGGCAGAGCTTCAAGGGTAACCGACACAGCACCGAGATCCCCCCGCGCCGTTACGATGCATGCAGCAGAGTTTCGGGCACCACCCGCAGAGCTACGACGGGAAGAAACATATGTCCGAGAGCTACCAGCGCAATTTTGAGGGCCACATGCCGAGCTACGAGAGCCACCAGCTGAGCTACGAGGGCTACCAGCTGAGTTTCGAGAGCCACCATCAGAGCTCCAAGAGCCACCAGCGCAGCAACGAGGGCCTCCAGCCGAGCTGAGACGGCAAGCAGCAGAGCTGGGATAACCACCAGCAAAAGTTGTTTTGAGAGCCGCAAGCCAAGCTAAGACAGCCACCAGCTGAGACACGAGGACTAGCAGCATTACGACCACCAGCAGAGCTAGCACGGCAAGAGACAAGGTTTCGAGAGCAACCCGCTGAGCTGCGAGGCACACCAGCAGATCTAGGAGCGCCACCAGAAGAGACAATTACGACGGCAAGAAGCAGGCCTTCGAGGCCCAGTTTCGGAGCGACGACGAGGGCCACCAGCTGAGTCACGAAGGCCACCGACCACCGACAAAGCTACAACGGCAATATGCAGAGATTCGAGAGCCACCAGCGCAGCCACAAGGGCCACCACCAGGGACTCGAGGGCCACCAGCATAGCCCCGAGAACACCCCGCAGAGCTACGACGGCAACATGCACAGCTCCGGCAACCATCCGCATTGTTACAAACATCGGAGGCCCCCAAAAAGGGTGGTGACCAAACCGTGCGGTGTGCCAGTGGGTATTAGGAGTCACCGCGCGGTTTTGGGACTCGGGTCATTATTTGAGGACGTCTCGGGCGACTGGGGCATTCGAGGTCCCAAAACCGTGCGGTGACGGACCGTGCGGTGAGGTCTTGGGGGGTTTCGAGATCACCGCACGGTCTGTCACCGCACCGTTTCGGGACTCCAACAAAAACAGCGCAGCTAAAGTGGCAACCAGCAGAGTTTCAAAGGCAACCAGCGGAGCACCGAGAACCTTCAGCAAGGCTAGTACATCAGGAAGTACAGGTTCTGGAATCACCCGCAGACCTACGCGGGCCACCAGCCGAGCTACGACAGCCAGAGGCAGAGTTTCGAGGGCCGCCACTTTGAAAGCCACGGGGGCCACCAACGCAGCTACAAGGGCCACCAGCCCAGCCTCGCGAATCAGCGGCAGGGTGGCGAGGGCAATCAGAGGAGATTCGGCGGCCAGAGCTTCGGCAGCTGGCAGATCTACCACGGCCACTGGCAGAGCTTCGGGGGCCACTCACAGATCAGCTTCGAGGGCAAGACGCAGAGCTACGAGAGCCACCAGCACAGCTTCGAGAGCCGTCAGCCGAGCCACGACAGCCACTAGCTGAGCTGCGAGGGCGACCAGCACGAGGATCACCAGCAGATCTACCACGGCATGAAACAAGCCTTCATGAGCCACCAGCTGAGCTGCGAGGGCCACCACCAGATCTAGGAGCGCCACCAGCACTGCTGCGACGGCAAGAAGCAGCCCGTCGAGGGCCAGTCGCGGAGCTACGAGAGCCACCAGTACAGTTTCGAGAGCCGCCTGCCGAGCTGCGACGGCCACCAGCTGAGTCACGAGGCTTACCAGCACGAGTACGAGTAGCACAACTACCGCGGCAAGCAACAAGATTTCCAGAGCAAACGGCTGAGCTGCGAGGGACACCAGCATATCTAGGAGTGCCACCAAAAGAGCTACAACGGCAAGAAGCAGGCCTTCGAGGCCCAGTCTCGGCGCGACGACGAGGGCCACCAGCTGAGTCACGAAGGCCACCGACACAGCTACAAAGGCAATGTGCAGAGATTCGAGAGCCACCAGCGCAGCCACAAGGGCCAATTGCAGAGCTTCGAGAGTTACGACGGCAACAAGCACAGCTTCGGCAACCACCCGCAATGTTACGGGGGCCACAGGCCGAGCTACGACGACCCGAATCGGAGGTTCGAATGCCCAGTGCAGCAGGGCCCCAGATACCACCAGCGCAGCTACGGAGGCGACCAGTAAAAATTCAGGGGCAACCAGCGGAGCACCGAGAACCTCCAGCAGAGCTGCCACGGCAAAAGGCTCAGGTTCGGGAATCACCCGCAGACCGACGCGGGCCACCAGCCGAGCTACGACTGTCAGAAGCAGAGCTCACAGGGCCACCGCAGGAGCCATGGGGGCCACCAACGCAGCTACGAGGGCCACCAGCTTAGCTTCGAGGCGACCAGCAGAGTTACGAGGGCCATAGAAGAGCTGGACCGGCTTGAAGAAGAACTCCGACGGCAGCTTGTGGCGCTCCGAGGAGAAGGCGCAGAGGTCTGAGGGCAACCAGCTGAGCTACGAGAGCCACAGGCAAGCAGTCGAGAGCCACCTGCCGAGCCAAGAGAGCCACAGGCACAGTTTCAAGAGCCACAGGCAGGACGACGGAA